GCTCTACATACCTGGAAGTGCCAGGCAATTTTCTTTTACTCCCTTTGCTCCCATTAAAGGCCAATTCTGGCTCATTTGAACCCCAGTCTCCCTGTATGGGCAATGCACAGGTTCACGTTTAATGTGTCACTGAACTAGTGACTGTGAAAGGGCAAGGCTTTCTATTTAGATGAGGCATGCACCACTGAGGTTACTACAGGATAACTTTCACATCCCGTTCTGCACATGTTTACAGAGTAAACTTAAGAACTGCCATTTGAACTTCTCTTAGGGCATGTTCTGTTTGTGATAAGAGCAAACACAGTGCTGATCTGCGCAACGATACAAGTCCCTTTTTCTGTTTATTAAAGAAGTTGCCCGCACTTGGACACCTTTTTCTCTTTCAACAGTGTTCCCACCCAAACTAGTATCTTGCTGGGTGTCCCCGCTACTTTTTTTTTTTTTTTTTTTACCTGGGATTCCCACTGTAACCTTATCTTAGGCGTATGTTGTAGTTAGAGGACAAAACAAGACCTTTTTGAACTGAGGGTGTTCTACACGATTCTGGATTATGAATGAGAGCTATGTAACTTTGTGGGATATTTTGTAAAATCTCCTTTCTTCTAGATAAATTTTAGAATGCAAATAGACCTTTATGTTATAAGCTGGGGGGGGGGGAGTTGTGTGTTCACGAGAACTAGGGATAGATTAGACCGACTGTGCTAAAAACCCCAGATGCAGCAAAAAATGCAGTACATCTTTTGCATGGTAATGTTTCTTTAAAATGTATAGTGGGATTTTTTTAAAGGGACAGTTTAGCTATAAAAGCCCCTCCTGGAGGTTTTCTTTGAAGACGGGATGTTTTGAAAAGATATAAAGAGTTGTTGAAATCCCCCAAGTAGTATCAGCTTGCACATTTACTACTTTCCCTGTAATGGGACAGCAGGCAAGTTTGAAGTCACCCATTCATGTTTTGGGTCTGTTCCTCCTCCCTCCTCTATATAGTGCTGATTGTAAAAAAAAAAAAAAAGACAATGCAGAGCATTGAAGCTTCCATTGCATTGTTGATTTCAACCTAAAAAGTAGGTGCAGCCATACCCAAGGCCAAATACTATTTTTTATTTTGTTCCAAAAAATTGGAATGCCTTTGTGTGATGTAGCAGTCATACATGCACAAAATGGTAAAACCTTATGCCCAAGGGGCTCCTATTGGCTACATCTCAAGAAAGCATATGAATATACTTCTAGCAGAATGAATCGACTGCTGAATAAATAAGAATCCCTCTTGTACTTACTAGGGGGTTGATGCTGGAAGTGTAGAGCATAGGTATATAAAGTATATCTGGAGCATAGTGGGCAGAAGCTATCGCATAGCTTCAATGCCAAAGCTCTAAAACACCACTTTTCTCACAACAAACGTCCCCCAAATACCTTTTAAAAATGGACATGTTTTCTGCAGATACTTTTACTTTAGGCAACGTGACTCCGTATAGGAGCCGCTGGCACTCAAACTGACCACGGCAGCACAAATCTGCTTCTGTGCTTGCTGTGATCAGAATGCTAAGAGAACACCAGTTGGCCTGCAGGTATTTTTTGATCACTATTAAAATAAGATAAAAAGGAACCCTTCAATAAAGTTACTATGGGCAAAGAAATGCATTTATACGTCATTATTAACAGTTACAAACACTTTAATTAGAGCAGAATTTCCCTTTTTAAAATTAATCATTTTGGTGTATAAGACAATACAACAAAAAAACACTTAACAAGGAAATATTTCTTTTAAAAGACTTATCGGGGCAGTATTTCTGTATAGGAAATTGCTTTCTAACACAATCCGCTCCCTTGAAGTTTGCATCGGTAACTAAAATATTTTAAAGCTGTACATAGTAACAGCTTCATATACAACCCAGGTGCAAATGATTTAAGAGGAATTGAAAGTGATTAGCATTTTCCTGCGGAGATATAAAAATAGATGTTGCTGTTCTAGTGTGTCTTCTGTAGCAGCCTCGAGGCTGTCAAAGCTAGACTGCCAAACTGAGATTGTGTTTGCATAGTAATGTAACCAGAGGCTAATTGGTAAACGCACAGTGAAGGGCTGATCTACTGTCACAGCCAAGCATTGCCCTCATATTCTGCTCCATGTGGTTTTTACACTTGCAGAGTAATTTTTTTGGTCTGCAAATGCATTCCAAATATTTATCCCAATACATGCTTCTACTCAGTGAATATTTCCTTAACTGCTTACTGCATTCAGGTAAAGGATAAGTGCATTTGAAAACAAAGCACACTTATCCTTTTTGTCTCCCCCTCCATAGACACCGCGATGCAACTCGCATGACCTCTGGGGGTTGTTCACATCCCAGATCATCTCTCTCTTTGCTACTATAGGGCTCGTCTACCTCCACTTTGCAGATGGCAAACAAGCCAAATAGACTTCTATGTGAGCAGGTGTGGGCAGAAGAGGGAGGAATACATAATAGTAAATAAGGAATATATATAATATCTATAGTCCCAGGGGAAGATACTGCACTCTATTTGTAAGGTAAATGCCTGGGTGCTCACAAAAATATCCATACAGATCCAGAATGGGTATAGAGGTAACTCAAAGCATCAGCATGCTATTGTCAGCTGTATGTATGTAGGAGAGATATATATA